TATTCCCTTCTTGGATCCCACGTAGCGCAAAAGCAAAAACCACTGGCGGCAGGCCTTTTTCTTTTATTATAGATTCTAGAGTAGTGAGGGAAAAAGAAATAACAATGGCTATATACATTAAATGCCATGCCCTAAGATAAGGCATCCACAATCATCAACACCACCAAACAAATGGCCGTTCCAGCGGCAACAGCCAACGCCGTCTGAGTCTTGCCCGCATACTTTAGGGCCATGGGAATCAACTCGTGGAAAGATATGAACAGCATCACACCTGCTACACTTGCAAGTAGTTTGGCCAATAGGATATCAGTCAAAACACTCTGCAATAAAAATCCGGCAACAATCACTCCTATAGGTTCGAACAGACCGTTGAAAAAGGTGAGTTGGATGACTTTAGCCCGATTGCCTGTCGCAAGGTATATAGGTATGGCCACAGCTACTCCCTCCGCCATGTTGTGTAGCATAATGACAATCGATAAAGGAAGTCCAAATTTAATGTCTTTAAGTGCCGAGAGGTACACCGAAAGTCCTTCCAAGGTATTGTGGAGAGCCATGCCCACAAACGTCACCATTGACGTATGAAGCATTTTCTGTTGATCATTCTTTTCTCCGTCCCGAGAATGCGTGTAGGGCTCTAGGATTGCCTCCAAAAGACACATGCTGATCACTCCAATGGCCATCCAGATCAGCGCCAGCGCTATACCAATATCTCTGGCAGATTCGGGTATAATGTCAATCACAGATAAATAAACCATCACTCCTGCCGAAAACGCTTGCATTCGTCCCATGAACAAAATGTTCTCTTTGCCCAAGTTGTCAGAGTCGGATTGAATGTTGATGGTCACTCCATGTGGTTTCCGCCTCCCTGATGAACTATCAGTAGTGTTGGTCAGTGGCAGATTGCCGGTTGATGACACATTGTGCGTTGCTACAACAAAAAGTCCACCTGCATTGCAGACACCGTCAGTACCAGGAGGTCACAGTAGCGTCATCTGTTCAAAAAAGTCTTACCAAAACCTGTTCCAAGGCCAGCTAGTAGCGCTAGTAGAAACGCAACGACTGAATTGTACATTCAATCAAGCTAATGCGAAAGGAGACGGAAGAAAAATTTGGAACGGAGCCCGTGCTGAACAGTAGTTATTTTTGGCACGGACTGTCATTTTTAGTCCACTGGGTGGTTACTTCATGTTGGCCCTGAGTGTACTGAGCAGTGACTGCCATGTAAGCCCGGCCTTAGCATTCAAGTTGCAAAGGGACCACCATAGAAGGTGCACTTTCTACACAGCATGAATTCGTTGACATGACGCTAGTTATCGTACCTCAATCGGTATGCACGCGCAAAAACTGAGACACCCAAAGACGTGCAAACATCAACAAGACAATTTAGTGCTTAACTATCGAAAACTGAACCCAGATTTTGTGTAGGCAGACTACGAACATTGGTGCTTGACCTCTGGATTTATAGCTAACGGCACATCAATGCTGAGCCGTATACCTTTACACACAACATTGCCCTTGACCTCTGGGTTTATGGCTAACGGCACATCAATGTTGAGCCGTGTACCTTTGCACACAACATTGCCCTTGACCTCTGGATTTATAGCTAACGGCACATCAATGCTGAACCGTGTACCTTTGCACACAACATTGCCCTTGACCTCTGGATTTATAGCTAACGGCACATCAATGTTGAGCCGTGTACCTTTGCACACAACATTGCCCTTGACCTCTGGATTTATGGCTAACGGCACATCAATGCTGAGCCGTGTACCTTTGCACACAACATTGCCCTTGACCTCTGGATCTATAGCTAACGGCACATCAATGTTGAGCCGTGTACCTTTGCACACACCATTGCCCTTGACCTCTGGATTTATGGCTAACGGCACATCAATGCTGAACAGTGTACCTTCTCACACAACATACCTCTTGACCTCTGGATCTATAGCTAACGGCACATCAATGTTGAGCCGTGTACCTTCGCACACACCATTGCCCTTGACCTTCCTTCACCTCACATAATGACTATACTGGATGATGGAGCCTTCTGTGAGCATCCGAACCCACTTGGCAGCGCCGCGACAATTAGCCGCCTAGACTATCAACACATTGGCTCGCCAAAAATTGAATAGTAAATAACTCAAATGGGCAAAACCAGTCAGTGTACATGCGCAGATAAGAATTGATGCGAGCACTTGGACCGCAGCATACCCTGTAGCGGCATCCCTTGTACTCAAAATTATACGTAGGATATCTCGGTGGGATTAATATGGAGGAAAAAAAGGTGGACATACTCGAAAAAAGACATTACACAAAAAAAAGATAAACAAATAAACGTCTTGTAAAGTAAATATGACCAAACCTTCTCATTTATGCAACGCTTTAATTGTCGTACAAAAATTGTGATTGGCCATATAGTTTGAGTAACTCCATACTTTTCAGTACTGCCTCTTTCACCACTTTTCAGTACTGCCTCTTTCACCGCTTTACACAGCTGTTGCATTATGGCTCCATCGATGAAAGAACCAGATACTTTCGACACGGTAGAGATGAGGAGCGTACATCAAATAGACGACATCTTCCTCATCGACATGTCAGAGGCAGGAATGACACCAGGAGCACCGAGCTCTATGAAAGCTGATCCTGCTAGTATGTCCAGGAATCCAGGCAAAAAACGTACCATACATCAAATTGTCAAAAGGCGACTATATTTCTTCAAAAGTCGGACTAACATTGTTTTTCGGTTGCTCATACACACTTTTTATGCTATCGTGCAGTCAGTCTCACTGAAATCATTTGCGGATCCCGCACGGTATAGCGGCATTGACAACATCAAGACTTTAAATACATGTATCAATAGTGACCAAGTGATGAACTATGTTTTAGAGCATATCACTAAGCAAGAAGCTTACATTTCTGGAATTGATAGACGTTACATGCTCAATAATGTGCTTTTGTGTGGACTGCTTAGCAGACATATAAAAACCGTGTTAACTAGAGAGGGTTCGGAGCGCCGACATCTCTTGCTACTTAAGGCGCTTGACTATGGCGTTCAAAGATTGGAATACGAATTCGGTGATGCTGCTAGGATATACGCAAACATCTCCAACTATACACAGCAAAGTAGGGAGTTGGGTGCACCCTGGCCACTGCTGGAGGAGAGGTCCATCTATGATAGATCAAAATATATATACGAAGACTTCTGTATAGAAATGCTTTATCGTGCCTCGTTTGATCCATATCTGGATGTAGTTGGAGACACAAGATACTACGGAGCGCACAACATGGCTACTCATGAGAGCCTCAACGTGCAGTATCTGGTACGACATGTTATCTTTTCCACAGTCCTGACTCAAGATTACAGTGTATTGTACGCCTCTGGTGGCGATATCTCGTGCCTAGAAACAGAATTAGTCGCAGTATTGCGTCAAGACTCAGAAGATGAATTCTTTTATATACGAGAATTACTGCATAACCACATTCGCATCAAACTTGATAATGAGACCAACCACATCGAACTTGGAAATCTCCAAGTAACGTACTTATCTGCGGCAGGTACTAAATTATCACTTCAAAAAAAGAAGAATCGTATTTTACTACATTACCGGAGCGCTGAATCCGGTAGGAGGAACGCACACGATATAGTAAGGAAAACAAAGCCTACAAGGCATACGAGTAGTACACGGAAAATCATAATACATGACAAGATGCGAAGGAGAACAGCGGCTGAAAGAATGATAGCTGTAGTAGGCCATGAATTTGCTGTATTCACGCCCCCTTTCGTAAATTCAAACCCACCGTATGCTCTATGGGCACGCTTACATCTAGATGGGTTTATTATCAAGGACAGAGTACTAGTAGGAACGTATTTTGCTGTTATTGCTGCTGCAATTACCATCGCCATATGGCAAACCAGCGAAGCCCTACGTACAGGCAAACTGAGCGGTATTGACATCACCTCTGCGGCGAGCTTGTATTTAGTGGTGACGGGAATAGTCACTACAATCTTCAAAACGACAAGGGCAGTGCAGTGGAGCTGGTTTGACTTCGTAAGGATGCAACATAAATCAAGAGCATTCGACTTTACTCATGAAGAGCGGTGTGTGACTTATAGTGAAATATTAGCTTTAGCAGCCTCTTATGACAAAAATGACAAGCATGCAATGCTAGGAAAGAGTAATTTAACATTCCTCCAAGACCAAAAGTTCACAGGTAACGTCATGTTACCATGGCCGGTGCCAACCGGTTCCCTTATAGCGAGTGGCTTTCTACTCTTGAAAGAATATAGTACCGGCTCATTATTTTTAGCAGCCACTACTAAAAGTGCTTACGGCGCAGACAGTGTTTACAGCTACAGCGATTACGCCAGGGTATTCAAATGCGAGGAAATTGCACCTGGAACATGTCATGTTACCCAGGAAGTAGATTACAACTCACTCCGTTTTGGAGAACTGGGTTTTGCAGCCTTACGTGTGAATTAGGTTGGCGAACCGGTGAAGAATTCGGCGGAGGTATAATTTTAAAGTCAATTTATAGATAAAATATATGAAAATAGCTTGATGTATCGTTGCCAAAAAATAATTGAGAATTAATACTTGCACTCGCAAAATAAGCGCTTTCCAGCTATCAAGACACATTATTTTGCGCCGCGTTCCAGTGTCATAATCCAGCCATTTTTCCCATTTTCGTTATTTTTATAAAGAGCAAACGCAATGATAAAATTTATGTTGCATAACGCATTCGTCACTATCCAGTTTAAGTCCAAGTATCGTGAATAGCTCTCTCACAAAAATTATTCGGATCAAACATCTGCAATTTTTTCATCCCTTCAATAGTCATAAAATAACAATAAAAAATCACCATAGGTATATACATGTATTTATCCATACACGATATAAAGATAATCATCCCATACCTCTCCTAATTTTGAGAGCTACTACAAATCGAAATCTCCTACTTTAGAGACCTACACTAATACAAAATCCCCGAAAAAACACAGATCTCTGTTAGCTCAGTTGGTAGAGCGTTCGGCTTTTAACCGAAATGTCCAGGGTTCGACCCCCTGACAGAGAGCTCTTTTTGATTGGTCAAAAAGTATAATCTTATTTTTGATTGGCCAAAAAAATATAAACTTTTTTTTAATTGGTCAAAAAATGTAAACTTTTTTTGTGATTGGTCAAAAATATAATCTTTTTTTTTGATTTTTTTGATTGGCTCATGTTCAAATTTCCTTCATTTCTATTGGATGCTGCTTTTTGCCTGTCGTTTATATTGTCGTTTCTAGTACTGTACGACTTAAATGTCTATCTTACAAACGAGTGAACTTCTCGTGAGGTAAAAGAGCTCCCTTTTATTCGATTACTATCGTCCTCGATTTATACGTATCATTTGTGACTTATTAGTATAAAAGTTGTGAGAGAAATCTAATTGAAGAGGATGTTCAATGTGACTTTTGGTGGTAAAGAAGTCCCATTGAATCGGCGTTCAGTGGATGTAGCATTTTGTAATTTTAGTGACGACATGGCCTCTCCAAATTTCGCGGCAGCTGCGCTGCGCTGCTGCTTAACGCTTTTTAAGATTTATAGATGCATTCTTTATTTTTATAGTAGTAGCATTTTTTTCTAAACTTATTAGTGTCTTCTCCTTTTAACTGGTGGCAGAACGGTTGCGTCTTGCTCTTCCCTACCAGAAGTTGAGCCTCTTTCAGCTATCCTTGACTCCGCTAGCTCCGTTAGGCAACTTTGATAGTTGCAAAAGGTCATGTCTTCCAAGGTCTGCATCTGTGCGTTTGTAGGTTCGTCCAGTGATCCCTCTGTTAATGCACCAAATGAAAACAGGGTGAAGTTATTTGGCAGAGCACTTCCGAAAGCAGCTCTCTCGGTCGGTCTAGGGGCACGATTGACGAACCTAGGGCCAATTGTAGATAAACCTGGTACATCCTTAAGATTTTTGAATAGTTCTATCAGCATGCGTGAGAAAGCCGTCGACAGAGTTTTGTGTTCCTTTTCCTGCCTTTGATATGCTTTACACTTTTCAAAGGCTGCACCAAACCTGTCGATAATGGGCTGAGATTGAGATCCAAAATAAGTTAATCCTTGATTTTCTAGAAAGTCAATTACGGAGGCCACGAGCTGTCTGTGGTTGATAACAATTGGCACCGGCAGAGTCAATATATAGTGCACGAAGACATTGTTATTAGGAAACGTCCCTAGTGAAATTTTCCCTTGGATAAAGTGACAGCCTTCTATGAAACGTGTCCTAGCGCAATGACATCCGGAGGAAACCAAGATACTCAGGTTTCTTGTATATGCTCTTGCTGGCAAGTGGAAGTTACACAAGGTACACGTTGATAAAAATTGACCTTCCTGAACAGTATGGCTAACTTGATCGTAATATTCGAGCCTGGACCTAGCGATTTGATCATCCTCAGGTTCATCGGGTAGAGGATGAAAATGTCCTTCGGCAATGCGTTTATTTTTGAAACTAACGTTTAGAATTCGCGCATACTGACCAATGACTCTTCGAACAATTTGGACTTGGTTATCAGCAGACAAGATTGCAAAATTAGGATCTTCTCTGGTAGCCATTCGGAGGATTCGTGTGTCGTAGCGTATGGTACCTTGGATGGACACCGTAGCTAGCTCGTCACTTTGAACCTGTCTACCAGACAACACAAGTGCATCTGTTGTCTATAAAATTTGTTAACACTTTTGATTCGCTATTTAACAGATTTGCTACTCTGCATGTGATACCATACCATTATAAAACTATCCTGATTTCTATCTTCAGATATGACCGTCTCTGTTGGAAAGGTTAATGCATCCATATCGACGTAGGTTGTTTGCAAGGTCGACCATGCACCTGTGGGAACCGAATCTAGATATCGTTGCGAATGTTAGTCCTTCATTCTATTATTCGAAAGAGTATTACTCAAACCTACCAAACAATCCAGTATGTACTACAGGCAAAATACCGGTCCATGCTGCTTGGTAAGATGTAGGGATTAATGCTATTTTGAGACGTAGCTGCTTTATCTTGCCACAAAGTGGATGAGAATCCCACCAAGACTGCAGAACTTCAACTTCCATGTTGGTAAAACCAAACTCAACCGGCTCATCGTTCGGTCTATCACGTAGTGACAGGACTTTTTCTTCAATAGCGTAAATGGCTTTGCTAGCTAATGTGTACAGCTCAACGCCACACATTCTGTCTTTGAGCCTAAAGTGTCTGAAGTAGCAAGGATGGGGCATCCAGAGCATGGCAATGAAGCGATCAGACCTCAGGCGCGAGAAATTCAGCTGTCCGCATCGGTCAATGACGAAGTTGTTACGCTGGCTGCCATCAACAAGTCGCGTCGGTCTAGCTCCGAGCATGAGAGCAATTGGTTTGGAATGTTCCATCATAGATTGCTTTAAGTTCCTATCTGCGTTGTTGACTGTTTCTTGATCAAAATCAGGATACCAATCATCAATATCTTGACATACAACATCAGGATAGTGATCGATGAAAGGAGGAAGAGGATCTTGATCGAGATTGGTTCGTAACATCCCCAAACCGTTACTGCGAAATGCATCCCAATTCATGAGGGGCTGTCGCTCCCTTCTGTCTTGATAAGCTGCCGCCAAAGCTACGCTGGCGGGAGGAGCTGTGCCAACGACAATGGTGAGTCTCCAATTGTGGAAGGAAGCAACCGCACGATAGTCGCTTGGCGATATCTCATCAACAGTGATGTTTGGATTAACTCCTCTGTAGAAGTAGTTTCCATATGGGGACTTATTTAGGACACCCATCCCGAGAAATAAGGTGAACCAAGCTATCAATGCACATTCTAGGGCATCACGATGGTACTGAGACAAATCATGGGCAACACACAAATGAATTGCAGGGGGTCCAAGAGTCGAGATGTAAGGTTGCAAAGAATATTCCCTAGCCCGTGGATTAGCAGTTTGTCCAATATACACCCTTGTGCCTTGAGGAAGTGCCATAGTCAAAGGGCTTGCGCTAGCGACGAGATCATCGCACCATATCTTGATGTATACCAAGTTTACGCAGTTTGGCATATCCATCCGATGGCTAGCGTCTGGCAGAAAGTGAAGATGAACATTGTTGGACGTATCCAAATTCAGATACCTGCTCAACAGTTGGAATCCATGATTGATAAAGGTGGAGTTCAGAGCAAACCAATTGGCATAAACTTGAAAGTAGGCTTGAATAATGTGTCTTGTCATTGCGGAGGAGTTTACTAACAAAAAGGCGGCGTAATTTGATGCTTTATATATACTATTGTCCATCCGCTAAGAACGGCAAAGATAAACTCCAGAGGCGATAAAACGGAACAGTTCGAGGCTGAAAAGGGATGAGGTTGAAACGAACACACGCATGCAAATTACTTTGTGCGAGGTCAGCATTATTACACTAATAAAAGCAGCCAGCCAAATGACCTGATTAGATGACCAAGGCGCAATGAATTGTCGAAAGAAGCAGAAAAAAAATGTAACAAAGAAAATTTAACCATGCGAGGTAATGACCTGTTGAATTGTGGCATATGGCTTGATCACAACGAGAATTGTTGTGCTCGTTTCGAAAAAAAAAAATTTCAGCTCCACTTTTTCAAACAAGTTTTTCTCTTGACACATGCACAGAAGAATGGAATGCTTCATAAACCGGTAGCAGAGTAATAATGAGCTTCATTTGTTTGTAAAAGCTTTCAAAAATGATATGTAAAATTTTTAAGTTTCTTTGTTCAAACGACAATTGCTGATCACGCTTGTGTGTGTAACTTAGGTTGGCGCTGTGTAAACTGAAATCCGCGTCGGTTGTAATGTAGACTGGTTCAACTGGTTTGACTGGTTTGATAGCCGTTGAGAAAGCCATCGCATATGATGAATGTCGATAGTAATGTTTAGTAAGCAGTCCCTAATAACACACCGAATCACAAATACAATATAAATTGTTAAATGCTCTTTGACCTTGTCAAAAGTACGCTATTTGCAAGATTGATTTCTTATGAAGAAGGGTATTTTAGACGAACTAAAAAAAAGAATGTCCTTTTCTTTCAATCACAATAAATGGCTTTCGTCGATTTTTATTATAGAAATCCTTCACATCATCTGCATGCTACTAGATCTACCCCAGCTCTTATCATGTAATGTGACAATGTCGGTTTGGAACACAGTCTGTCCGCATTATGTTTAGCTGCCCTGATATTTGGTCCAACTCCATGTTTTCGACTCTTCCCTACCAATTGCAATGCCGTGTTCTTCAGTGACAAAACCCAATCATTTTTTTAACCGAACCAAAGGTCTTTAGTCTTATGCGTTCCATCGTTATCGACCACCCCGACTTTGGAGACTATATCCCATTGGATTTAATCCACCTAGCTATCCTCGCGAATTCAGGTATGCAAGTACTTGAGCACACCACTTGTCGCAATAGATTCAAATCAGTCATCTATAATATTGTCACACAGTACATTAAACGTTGTAGATATATAGATGATTTATATATTGTTGGTGACTTAAAGAAATGCATGCCACTGTGTACCACGAGAAGGCAAGGAGGTCTTTCGTCGTTAAAGCTAGCTGAGCAAGCTTTTCCCAATAAATTGTCGAGATGTCAGATCGCAGCGGAACACAGAACATGAAAATCTGGTCTACACCTTCAGAGGCAGAGATCTCACCTAAACCTTCAGTGATAGATCCTTCGACTCTGAGCCTACTATAATGAAAAAAGCAGAGTGCCACGAGGTTTCGCTATGGCGCGAGTTTGGCCAATGCTTAATTTGATGCGGAACAGCTGCAGAGGCGCTCGCTTTCCCGGTAAAAAATCGGAGAGCCAACAGCGGTTTGAATATATACCTTGATAGACAAATGCCGGTGCGATTGTGATGTTTCGAAGGTTCGAAGTCGACACAGAAAACAGATAACCATCCATGACTAGTAGTGAATAAATCAGTATGTTAGCAGTCGCAGGGCGATAAAGGCTAAATCTGTAGATGGGCAAAGCATGTCGCCATGGGAGCCAGCTTGCTTAAACTGTCCCACTGGAAAGCTGTCTAATTGCACCACTCCGGA